TAGTGCAATTGGGTATTCACCCGGTGGCAGTAGATCTTACACTGATGCAGATAAGGAAAGACTAGAACATAAATACAAATAATAAACTTAAACAGAGCCTATATGTGACAATCAGCAGGTCAACATAATTTTAAATACACCGCCACGAAGTTCAAAAACGTGTCCTTCATAACTCGGCGACTCACAAGTACATAAGGGGTAGATGTGCCCCCAGGATTTAAAGATGAAGTCATTCCTTGTATTAGAAAGTTTCATCGCCGCTAGAATACATTTCTAATATTTCCCTTGAGATGATTTTAATATTAGCCGGTCACCAAGCTTCGTGCTTAAAGTACTCTTTTTTTCTGGAGAGGCTTTCTCATATATTTCTCGTATATTGAGTGTAGACATGTTACGCATTACGGAAATATAAATAATGTGATTTACTTGTAATTATACACATATGCAAGGCTTCAGAAAGTATTTAAATGTAGTACTATCCGCTTGAACTCCACCCGCCCACACAATTAGGTGCAGAAAGAAACGATTGTGCTGCCGGCTCTATAGCTTCCAGAGTGGGCGTATGTATGGTGCGCAGCGTAGGCAGACTATGCGACCTTGCTCCAAACTTTTAAAAGGATGTAAAACAACGTATAGATACACCAATATCTTAACAGTTTATATACTGCCAAAACAACGAGAAACAGTATCGGCTTAAAGATATTAAAATACGGTAAACCTTCGCTAATTCTGTTGCAGTTAATCCGGATGTTGGAAAAATCCGAATCGAAATATGAAAAAAGAAAAAATCCGTTCACAGTTGAGTACATACTATAAAAAGACACCTAGGCTTTATCAGGAAGACGGATTAGAGCACGCCGACTTTCACATTATTGAGGGAAGCTGGAGAGAATGATACCACGATAGACAATATCCAATATTGGCTTGAGCTGGATGAAGGGAGACACTGCATTTCAGCTTCTGACAGAGGAAGAAATTGCTGCAGTGATATTTTCTATTTATTTTCATCAGCACCATCTATATTATTAAATTTTCCATTTTTTGTAAGTTTCTTTTTTAGGGCTATCTTTTGCTTCACTGATCCCAATTATCGGTTAACCGGATGAACCCCCATTAATAACGATTAGCGAGGGTTTACTGTAAAATTGTACCATATCATTCGCGAAACTGTAAAGATGATTGCATACCTCACAATTAGCATGCAAATTTTGAACACATTCTTCGTCTATACGCCATCAATACAAAAGAGACCACTTATAAAAAATATTTATAAGGACATTTATGTCCGAACAATTACTCATTATTACGCCTTCCAAGAATATGGACGTGTCAGTAAATGATTCATATAGGAGGTCCAATATATTATTCTGAGCATGGCACATGGCTTTTATGTTTACTCATCCGATAAGCAATATACTGTGTATTCAGAGTGCATGTGATGTACTTCCCGCCACAATTAACACTGCCAAGATCCATACCACATAACTAGAACATAGTTTTTTTTTACTAGTGGGGTGGGACTAAGTCCCTTGTACTGCGGCCACTTCAGGCCTATTGTACCAGCCCCAGATGATAGGTGAGGGTGATTGTGGAGCAATTGGTGGAATGAAGATTGGCAGGGGAAACCGAAGTACTCGGAGAAAACCTGCCCCAGCGCCACTTTGTCCACCACAAATCCCACTTGACAAGACCCGGTAGAACATAGTTACTAATATAAAGCGTTAATTTGAAAATGATTTAATTTCTTGGTCAGAAGTGTACGCTGAACTTTTTCCGTAACTGAGCAGAACAGATGCCCGGATCGGAGCCCACTGACACAGAAACACGGAAGAAACAAAGGCAGTATAGCTTGGCATTCCAAATCAATGACGCTGTAAGTCAAACAGCAGACTGATGTACCAGATGTTTCTGTGGTCTCCCACGCACGAAATAAATCGCACAGAAAGAAATTGTAAAGGTACCTCATTTCAAGTTGTTGTGTCGCCGATACAGTTCATCAAAGGATGAGGAACTCTGTGACAAATTATTGTTGGGATCAAAAGCTTCTAACTTGAACCCACAATTTGAAATGACAGGCAAACGAATGTTAACAATACAGTAATACCTTGTTTAACACGGGGC